ATTGTGATTTTGTCTCTCACCAACCAACCTGAAATTACTAACTTACCCTTGTAATATTATTTATATTTTGTTCTATTTAATATAAAGTGTTAATATATAAATTTATGGGTCCTAAATCCTCTCTCTCTCTCTCTCTCTCTCTCTCTCTCTCCTCGCCACCTGCCAATTTCCAACTCAAACCCACCAGAATTGAAGGAAAACAATCCAACAACATACCCATCCCACCCTCTCCATTTTTATTCTCTCCATCTGGACGTCAACCAAAATGGAAAGAAAAAGAACCACCATCTTCTCTTCTCATCGGGAAAACCTAGCCACTAAATCACCCTCATTATCACTCACAATGCACCATTCTTTTATTCAGAAACCAACCACATCTATAGCCAGACACCACCATAAAACTACATTGTTTTCTTTCCTCTCACCAATGAAGACCACATCAAAGATATAAATGATTTTAGCTCCATTTTTGTGTTGTTCTATTAGAACATTAAATATAGTAAAATGTAACATCCCCCTCTGGCACGTATCACAATATTGTCCACTTGGGGCTCCCCTTGTATCTAGAAGTTCTACATACCATAATGTGATTATATTACATTACAACATGAAGGAAGGTATATTCCATTCTGGAATTTGACTTTAAGAGACCTGAGTCTAAGCGTCACATCATACGATGAGAGGTCATTAGAACATGACCCATCGTTATGTCATGTGGTTAACCAAGAGGGAATAATGGTTGACCCAACAAAGATTGAAGTTCTGATGAAGTGGGGACGACCGAAAACCCCATGGAGATTCGAATCTTTCTGGGATTAGCTGGATATTACCAAAGGTTTATCCAAGGCTTTTCTTCGATAGCTGCTCTATTAGCAGCTTTGAGCCATAAATGAGCTACTCGATGGGGACATCGAACCCTATAATGGGGGGTGAAGGTAGGTTTCACCTGATCCCACATCGGCTTGGAAGGAGACCGAAACATTTTTTTATAAAGGGGCGTGGATACCTTCCTTGTCACAACGCGTTTTAAAGCCGTTAGGGCAGCAGATCCCATAAGCACTCTACATTTAAGCGTGCTCGGTTGAGAGCAATCCAGGGATGGGTGACCCCCTGGGAAGTTTTCGTGCCGGGAACCCAAAGTGGACAATATTATGATAGGTGCCAAAGGGGGATATACCTTCGGTAATATCCAGAGCTGGGGCTCGGGTCGATTCGTTCGATGGGGACATCGAACCCTATAATGGGGGGTGAAGGTGGGTTGCACCTGATCCCACATCAGCTTGGAAGGAGAACGAAACATTTCATTATAAAGGGGTGTGGATACCTTCCTTGTCACAATATATTTTAAAGTCGTGAGGGCAGCAGATCCCATAAGCACTCTGCAGTTAAGCGTGATCGGGTGAGAGCAATCCAGGGATGGGTGACCCCCTTGGAAGTTTTCGCGCCGTGAGCCCGAAGCGGACAATATTGTGATACGTGCTAGAGTGGATGTTACAAATGGTATCAGAGCTGGGGCACGGGTCGATGCGTTCGATGGGGACATCGAACCCTATAATAAGGGTGAAGGTCGGTTGCACCTGATCCCACATCGACTTTGGGCTCAGAACGAAACATTTCCATATAAAGGGGTGTTGATACCTTCCTTGTCAGAACGCGTTTTAGAGTCGTGAGGGCAGCAGATCCCATAGGCACTCTGCAGTTAAGTGTGCTCTGGCGAGAGCAATCCAGGGATGGGTGACCCCCTGTGAAGTTTTCGCGCCGGGAGCCCAAAACGGACAATAATGTGATACGTGTCAGAGGGGGATGTTACATAAAACCCCAGAGAACTCATATATTGTATTCAAGAATCATCGATGAGCTTTTTTAGTGTGCACTCTTTGAGTTTTTGACACCGGAAATGTATGACAGCGCAGGACGCTGAAATCATACCTAATGATATTTTTAGTGGTGGCTGAAATCATACCTAATCATATTTTTTTTTAGGAATTTATTTACAACATTAGATGTTTACCCACATGAATCAGATTCTAGGATTTGTAAAGAGTGAAAAACTTGAAATGTGCTAACACAAAGCCTTCTAATTAATCACACAAGGAAAAAGTATAAATTGAAGCCAATCAGTGATGTTGAACATATGATCTAAGCTGCTGGAGTCTTTGCATATGCTTGAAAAAGTTGAGATGATTCTTACAACCCATGAAATTGATTTCAAGTTTTTTATTTTGATTTTGAAACCCAAAACGTAATCTTTGATTCTTAAAGGTATTTTCTTTAGATATATATATATATATATAATATATATATATATATATATATATATATATATTATATATATATATATATATATATATATATATTGGCAGGATCACTGCCAAACACCTTCATCGGAGGTTCAAGAGAAAGCCCATCCTATTCCACCCAACGTTGTTGGTAGCCACCTGCGACAACTTCTTCATAATCCACTTGAATCCTTCATATCTCACATTATGCGCAACAAACCCCTGTAACAATCATAAGTGGTAATAGTGACCGAGTGATGGTGGTGGTGTTTTCCCTATGGTTTCTCATTATAAGCTACATGCAATGAAGGTGTTTGGCAGTGATCATAACGATTTCGATGATGAGAGATGACGATTTTGCGTATCCCACAACTTTGTGGTGGAACTAATAAAATTAACAAGAACTAATATAATAAATTAAAAATCCAATAAAATAATATTTATTATTTGAAGAAAATAATAAATTAAAGGTAATAATCCAATAAAAAATAATTAAAAAAAAAAGAATTACAAAAATTAACTAAAAGAAATTAATAATCAAATAATATAATATTTATTATGATATAAATATTATATATTGAAAACTATGTAATGTAATGATATCTAATAATTCAATAAAAAAGAATTATTCCAAAAAAAATATTAATAAACTAAAACAAATTAATTATCCAATAAAACGATATTTATTAATATATAATATTATATATTAAAAATAATATTTATTAAAATATAATACTTCAATAAAATAAAAAAGAATGTATGCAACAATGGTCCTTATAGTATGGTAAAAGACAAAACTGCGAAAACTGTTCCTGAGGGTAAAATTATCATTTTAAAAAAGTTAACAGCCAACCAGTTAAACTTAACGGATGAGAGACCAAAACTATAACAAAACTTGTTGAAAATGATCAAATCTGCAACTTTTCAAACGTTTGGACCGTAACTATATAAAATGTATACGATTTTGCAGTTTTGTCTTTTAGTTTGGGGATGGATTTTGAAGAAACCAAAACCAGAATATAAAACCTGTTGATATGAACCAAATTTACGATTTTGAAATCGTAGGGATCAAAACCCAAAAAACAGCAAAACATAAAGACCAAATTTACAGATTTCTCTTAAATAAACAGTGTATACTTTCTTTATATGTCTACGTTGTTGTTATTAGCTCCAAAAGATAAAAACAAAATAACGTTTATTTTATTTTAGAACGGTACACAAACATGTATATTACCATGAGCCGGTAGCTATGGTTAATATAACTAAAAACTTAAATTAGACTTCGTTTTTGGAGACTTTTATAACTATGATCGTTAATTATAAGTTTCGTGTGATTAAGGTTAGATTTCAATCGATTCGAGAGATTTTGGATTGTTCAAAACATAATTCACACGATGGACCCAAGAATGCGACTCCATTGACCAAGTCAAACTTCCATCACATTTTCTTTAACCTTTTTGACTCCCTGTTTCCTTCCACAACAAAACAATTTCCTTTTCCTTTTGTAAACTATATCTACATAATCATTAAAATTTTATTCTTTTGCATTATATGATTAAAATTAATTTCAATTTCATAAGTTTATTTAATGTTCTATTTGAGAATATATGCTTGTTAGCACATGATATGTTCGAACCACACAATAACATCATTACTTAGATCTACTTGCTTAACCTAATCTTTTCAAATATTAAACATTACCCTTTCATAATTATATTCTCTTCCTCCTTTATTCCCTTTCCCTTTTCAACTTCAACTCCATTAATATTGCTTTGCAATTCATTTTCAATTACAAATAAATGCATGATACCCAAAATGTCCATTCTTTATCGACCAAAAGGGCCGTCCAATTAAAGGTTGACCTTTGAAGTTTACGACTCGTATGAGACTATGAGGTGTTCCAATTCTACAAAAGCCCGAAGATTATATTTCCCTCAAATGCAAGATTTATACTTTGAAAATATCAAAAATATGTTTCATGAAACATATATTTTTAAAAAGGAATCCGATTCAAACTCAAGCATATTTACTTAAAAATTAATTCCAAATGCCCAATGCAAGATTTCTAACAAGATTCCAAATGCCCAATGCAAGATTTATATATGTATATTATCGGATATGACTTCTTTTAAATTCTATTGAACAAGAGAAAGTAATAAAATGCTTTTTATTACTTTGATTCGTTCATGAAAACACTAACTTTAGTCAAGAAACCATTTTTCCATGAAAATAATAAAAGTATAGAATATAGACCAACAAGAAAAAAGAAACTAAAAGAGAGGAAAAGAGTGTTAATTGGAAGGGAAAGAAAAGATTGAAAAAGTCACCTCCATATATCCCCACATCAAAAGCACATTCTTTCTTCCATTCTTTGCTTTAATCCACTTTACAACTAAGTAGACCTTCATGTGTTTCCATTAGTTCTCCAATCTGTTCTCTCATTTCTTAAATCGCGAAACTGATCACGAGACTCTGAAATCTGATCAGTGTACTTGAAGATCTCTATTTCTCTGTAGTCACTTCACTTCTCTTATGTTTCTTCAATGTATGCCATCTATTTCTCGTGCGTTAATCAGCATAGCTGCAGGAGTTCCAGCTGCTTTTGAAAGTTTAAGTTCATAATCCTTCACCTTGTCTATTGATTTTTTTGTAACTCCTCATAGCATGGAATTTCACTAGAGTTTACTTGTCATACACGTACTTGTTGCGAGTTTGCCAATTATGGGGTCTATAGATGTTGATAGCCCGACAACATGGGTGCCTTATATGAACAATCAAGATTGTTCACAAAAGATTTGCAACTTATACTGTCCCCAGTGGTGTAACTATGTCGTCCTCCCTTCTCCTCCACCGCCTGTAGGGTTTTCTGACAATGATACGGATGGTGCCAACCTCTCGCCTCTTGTGATCGTAATAATTGGTGTTTTTGGGAGTGTGTGCCTTTTGATTAGTTACTATGTTATAATCTCCCGACTTTGTATTGTAAACAATGATTCATCTGAACCTTTGAGAAGGAGAGGTGTTCAGAATCAAGAAACCCTGGAGTTGGAAATGGTTGAGGATGATTATAACATTGAAGACCATTTCAATATTGGTCCTTGGCATGATCCCGACAAGGGTTTGGATGATGGTATGATCAATTCGATTAAGGTTTGCAAATACAAGAAAGGAGATGGATTGGTTTCGTGCACTGATTGTCCGGTTTGTTTAGGAGAATTTCAAGAAGACGAGAATCTTAGACTTTTGCCCAAATGCAGCCATGCTTTTCATGTTTATTGCATCGATACTTGGCTTACAAATCATTCGAATTGTCCATTATGTCGAGCTAATGTAAGTTGTGTCGATAGTGCCATATCATATGTTTTATCTCCTCCTCCTCCCCCTCCACCACCACCACCGCCGCCACCGCCACTATCACTCCCACCACCACCACCACCACCTCCGCCGCCTCCACCCCCCCCTCCACCTCCACCTCAACCTCAACCTCAACCTGAGGTGATTGTCTCAAGGAGGGTTCAAAGGGATGTAGCAGAAGGAGATGCTGTAATTGAGATAAGAGAAGAGGATGATCAAAGGGAAGTAAGAAGATCAGTATCTATGGGTTATTTGTACCAAACCCGAATAACAATGGCTGACATTTTGTTCTTTAATCAACAAGATGAAATGGAATTGGAAATATGCCAATTTGGAGAAGGTGCTGGATCATCAAAACATGTTTTGAAACCAGAACAATGTAGATTTGGATACGATGATGGATCATCAAAACGACTGTTGAATGAAAATAGCATATATTTGAATTGTGGTGATGTTAATCATGATAAGATGAAAAGATCTTTTTCTAGTGGGAGGCACTTATTTATTAGAGGATGGAAAGGGAAGACCTTAAGAGTTTCAGGTTTGCCTACGTAGGGTTTAAGTCCTCAATTGAATTATTGAAAGACTTCAAAATTTGAAGGATTGATTTTTGTTAGATTACTTATTTAAGTTATTTTTGTGTTTCGAGCATCAATCTAGAATCTTATTCCGTAAAAAAAGAAATGTTTTCAATTCATTAAATGGGTTGTGTTTGCTCAATTTCGTTATGAACTTTTTCCCTTACAATAAAAAGAAGTTTTAGAAATTTTTTTTGGAACATCAAATTATAAATATATACAATAAGTAAACATTCGGTTGTGAGATATGAACGGGGATTCTAAATACACCTATTTAAAACCACTAATCACCAAGTCAAAACCACTAATAAAAATGTCAAATAAAAAATATAATATAATAATAATATTTATGAACGGAAGATTAAAAGGGTACGTGATAGCCTTATAGGTCCTGTGTATTAATTTTTTTATAACTATTTTTATTTTTTTTGAATAATTAATTTTTATATTAATGTTTATATTTTTATAATTTCAGTTTTAAATCATTATTTTACACATTTTATTTGTTATTAATTTATAAAAATGATATCTAAATTAATTTTTCTTATAATATAAAATAGATTTGTTATAAACTATCATAATAGTTGTTTTTTTTTTAAAATTAGTTTCGTATTAATATTTGGTTTTATTACCCGTATTGATTAAGCTCGTATTGATTTCCGATTATCCCTTAAGCAATATGTTGTCATCTCAGCCGCGTCTAATTTATTAATATCTACATAGAAAATTAGTTTTACGATATTCGTCATATCGGCGGTTCATAATCTTTTTTATTTTACTATTATTAACGTCAAGCAAAAACATATTAAAAAAAACACAATTATAACTTTTTTGTCCAAACACAATTACAATAAATAAAAATTACAATTTTTATTTACCACCGTTTTTTCAAACATTGTCTTATTTTAATTTTATTAGAAATACGTTAATATTAACAATAAAATATGTAATGTTAATAGTGCACAAATTATTTTTATTAATTATAAGCGAAATCAACTACATGAATATAAAAATTATAATATGGTGCATTCGATGGAATATATGCATTAAGTCAAACATTATACAATATTTCTCATCTAGCAGAACGTTCTGATTTGTTGTGACGCTAAAGTGGAAAAACTTTAAGCTGTGATTCTTGTAAATCAACTTTTACGTAATGACCATTATGAACGTATGTGATAACAACAGATCTATGATGTGAGATGTCTTTCAGACTATGCCAAATCGGAAAACAAAATAGGTCGACAGACCTTGTTTTCTAAAAAATAAACCATTACGTCATACTTGTTAGTAATAAGGAAACCAGTATCTCTGACATAATCATTCAATATTTATTTTACACAGAACCCAATCTAGTAAAACTCAACGAGTGATGTAAGTTGTTTATACAATCCTGAAAAATCATTGCATGACATCCTTAGTTTTCTAATAACTCGTTGTATATTTTTCTACAGATTTGAAGCCAATAATTTTGACTATACACATTCATTAATTCTCAACAAAGAAATAAAGTTTATTAGTTTTGGTTTATATTTTTATCGATTTTTTTGCCTAAAATAGTAATATAGTTGCTAAAATTATAATGTTATGTTTTTATACTAAACAAATGAGGAAAATTTTGAAAACTAAATAGAATAATATATATATATATATATAATATATATATATATATATATATATATATATATATATATATCCCTATTCTAATAAAAAAATAGTTTTATTCTCCTTTTGACATGTGTCATTCTATTAGGCTTCCTAATTAATGTATATGTTATTCTCCTTTTGTCATATGTCACCCTATTATGTCTTCTAATTAATGCATGTCACTTGTCAACCTATTGATTCTTCATTTCAAATTTCAAAATTTAATTTCTCATTCTAATTACATTAAACTAATAACATTAAAATAAAAATTAAAATAAAATTAATACAAATTATAAAATGATATAATTTCACATATTTATTTAAATCAATGATTATAATTTTATATAACTAAAAATCTTTTAATTAATAATTTATTTAAAATAATTGATTAATAATTTTGAGTTTTTATTATAAAAATTCAATTAATTTTGTAACCGTGGTTTCCACGGGTTAAACTAGTAGATAGATATATATATATATATATATATATATATAGATATAGATATATATATATATATATATATATATATATATATATATATATATATATATATATATAAACTGAAGTGACGTTAAGAGAAGTCAATATAAAATAAAGTTATATATATAATAATAATCGGTTAATTATATAAACTTATAAACATGTTTCAAGTCATATCAAAATGAGTTATTAACCCAAGTCAAAGTCAAAGTGGTTTTCATAAAGTGGTTTTTACTATTAAATCGGGTGTGAATAACAACACATGAACACTGTAGCTAAAAGTGCTATCTAAAATGCACCATGTACAAGAAGCAGTTGCGGTAGAATTTAAGTTCTATTTGTTTTTTCTGAGGTAAAATGTCTGCAGTCTGCGGACCACATCTGTAGACCTCTGCAGCAGAAGAGGTGGACCAAACGTCTGCAGTCTGAAAAAAAACTGTTTGTTTTTTTAACATCTACGGGCTACTAAAATAAGCTAAAATCTAAATAAACTGATTGTTCTAACTACAAAGTGATTTTTTAATATTTTATGATTTTATTATAAATAATTAACAAATCTAGATCAACTTTTATGTATTATTGTATAAAAAGTGAAAATAAAAACGATACAAATTAACGTATATATTTGATAAAAACCAACAATTTTGGTTGCAAAGTTATATCTAAACATTGTAATTGTGAATCAAAGATTTGATACATAAATGGATGGAAATAAACTTTGATTTTTTTCAATTAAATAAATTAAAATCGTACCATAAATATTTTTCTAAGAAATTGACGATACTGTATTACATAATGTTTTATAAAATTTGGCACAAAAAATATAAGAATATATTATGATTTTTTTTCATATTTATATAAACAACTTCAATTACCATTATTGTAATAAATTTGTCAAAAATATCATATTTGTGTCGTCCAACTTTTTTTTTAAGTATTGTAACTTTTTTTTTCAATTTGTTTATCACTAATAAAGTTGGAATAAATATAAATTCAAAAAAACTAAAAAAAATAAGATATATGTGTTTTTTTAGGCTAGAAGATGGCTGAAGATGTTAGAAGACCCTGGTTCACATCTGCGCCAGGAAGAGGGCGCGCAGACATTTTTAGGTCTGCAGTCTTCAAAAAAAACAAACAATCTGCGAAGACTAATGTCTGGGCGTGGTCTGCGCCGCACAGACAGAAGAGGCTAAAAAGATCTGCGGGCAAAAAACAAACACCACCTTAATCTTTGAATTGTTTTGAAATTAACTTACATAAATTGCCCTTACAGTTTTAGCGTTCTTTTCATAAGTCACCCACTTACAAACCCTTTTTTTTTCACTTTTTACCCTTACAACTAGGGGTGAACATAGGCGGATACCCGCCATATTAGTCTGGAACCGGAACCGGCGGTTCCTATAATTTTGGAATCGGAACCGGAACCGGTGGTATCGGTTCCTAAAATATTGGAACCGGAACCAGAACCGTCGGGTAACGGTTCCAATACCAGATACCCGGTTGGTTAGATTTTTAAAATTTTAAAAACATAAGAAAAAACTATGTATTTTGCATACTTACAAAAAATTATCAACAAAATAATATGTAATTCATTAAGCAAGAAGTAAGAAACGAAAAGATGACGGTAGCTTTAATAACTCCTAAAAAATATTTGTGATCTATTTAGATAGAAAATTAACTTGCACACATACTAATTGTGAGAACAAGATCTATGCGCAGGGACAAGGTTTGAAAACTCAAACCTTGAGTAAATGCTTGAGATCAATGTCTGCTTGCTAATGGATGTTCAAGTCTAGACTGGAAAGACCAGTCAAGTCTTAGATAATCAATTCAACAAATAATCAAGACATTAATTGAGAACAAGTAGTCAATGATCAAAGGTAAAGTTAATAAATGAAGAACAAGAAGAATGTTTTAATATGATAAGAGTAAATGTCAAAAGTAAGTGAAAGATCCGTTGTTGACTTGTATTGAAAGCTCCTATTTAAAGGAGTGAATGTTACAGCGAATTACCCAAATGTTTACATAAGACCGGACAAAAGACATAAGTCTGACATTCTTATTGTCCTAAAGCAACTTTAGACTAAGTCCTATGAAACGTTACATCAAATACAAGACAAAAGTAATAAATGCACAAAAGACATAAAGACTTCATTCCGGACAAGTATTATTCCGGAGATGAAAGTTTGATCCGGATCAGCATACATTTCGGACATCAGGATTAGCTCCGGAATGTGTTCCTCTTCAAAATACTCCTCCTCTTCTTATCTTCATCTCCGGACAGGTTCCAGATTACTTTTCCTTTCGGAACCAACACACTTCGGAATATGTACTTAGGATTGCTAGAGGTTCACTTTCAGGTTCCAACAATCTCCCCTAAGTGAACTTAGCAATCCAGCAAGCTTAGTTCATTTCGTCCTTGATGAAGGTGTATGCTCTGAACAACCATTCACGCACCGCAATGTACCAAGTCAGTTGACTTACAAACTTTGCCTTAACCTGTTCCGGAGCATCAGACTTGGACGCCCGGGATATGAAATTCTTCAGAGCTTTGGTAGGTACTAGGTGTTTGTCAAGGACTCGAAAGAAGTCCTTCTTGTTTGTTCTTCTGGTGGTGTAGACAAACCCTAGAACCGGTTCTTCAATCGGACCATCTGCAAGAATTTCAGCTTCCGGAAGAACAAAGTCGATCTTGGCAACAAATTGTTCGGTTCCGTAGAGGTGAGCAAGTTCGTAATCACAACGGCAGAACTCAGTAACATAATCTTTGAGAAAGCTGAGAGTTGCGTGGTAAGCACCCATACTGATGTCATACTTTTGATTTTCTCTGAAGTAAGCAGGTAGGGTAA